ATAAAACTTAAGCTAACTTTTCATAAATTTGAATTTGATGAATTTTGTGTGATTTTTTCACTTACGAATAAATACAACAATTTCCTGTGTAAAGATTGGTAGATGTATTAGGTTTGATTTCCCTATATTTTAATCATTTTCCCATTCCCTGTTTACGAGTATATTGTTAGATTATAAAAAAAAAATTAAATAGTCAAGCATAAAAAGTTAAGCTTAAAAAATATTCTAATTAATGTTTAAATGTTATTCGTTAAATATATTTATAAAAAAGTTCTAATAAGCATTTTTGTTTTGCTATATTTGCCATTAATAAAAAGTGCATTTGTTATTGTCATTTATACTCTATGTAATTTTTTAATCTCTGCTTTACAAAAGGAAACCCAAAAAACAAGTATTCTCATTAAATTAGTATTTTATATATAGAAATATGACTTTTAAATTTATTTTAGTCCGTTTTTTTGTACCCTAAACCACTTGTGCCCCAAGAGTGTGTCAAGTTTGTGCGGATGTATACAACATGCAGGAGACAGACAATCGGGCGGATAATCTTCAATCAGAAGAATCGATTTAAGTTTGTCTGTCCAGCTGTCCATATTTCTATTTTGTGTTCAATTTTTCGTGAAATTTGTTGCACTGACGTCTTTCGTTCCAAGGACAAGGAGGAAAACTATTGAAACACAACTTGTGGTGCAGGGATATATTAAGTTTCTGCGAACGTCTTACAAAACCCAAAAGGATGTAGATCGATCCGTTTCAGAACCGCTTTCTAAGCTTGTCTGTCCGTCGGTGCGTCTATCCCTGACATCTTTTGGCCCAAGGGCGAATACTATACGCTTCGGATAGGACCGCATTTTCAATCACTCTTCACATAACCCCTTGTTTTGAAAAATCGTTATATAAACAACTGCGAGTCGGCGTAGTGTTTAATAGTGGGCCATGGCCCACTATACTGTTGTCATTTATTTCTGTTTAATTAAACACAAGTCTAACGGATTTAAAAGAAAAAAATCGATTATTATTTAAATAATCACTTACGTCTAATTCAATTAAATTTAATTAATTATCTACACATCCATACATATATACGTATATAAGATAAAATTATTGGCTAAAATTCTACGGAGAATTTTTTACTATTATTATTAATATTTGTTTTTTTTTTTTTGTAATTTTATTTTATATATATATATATATATATAGGTTGGTTTTATTTTTGTATATATATGGTAGTTAAGTACTTCATTAATTAATATCACTTAATTGACGAGTGTACGTTTTTGATTTGTAACGGTTGGTTTACGGTTGGTTTTTAAACAGTTGTGGTTTCTGGGTTTAATTGTTCTCTACTCTACTACATTTCTACTCGTTTCGATTTAACTAATTCTTAAAAGGAAAAACCAACAAAAGCTACTATTATAAATCTAATAAAAAAGATCAGAGAGAAGAATTGGTTTTAATTGAGTATTGAGTTGAGAGTTGGATTGGTTTGTTGAAACATTTTTCTTTTAGTTTTTCCTTTGTCTTCCCCTTAATGATTGTCGGAATTGTTAAGTGAAATTTTTTTTACATTTTATTTATTTATTTTTTTTTTTTTAAATCCAATATTGTTTATAGAAAAGCGTATGTTTACATGGAAGCAAAGCGTCGAGTTTGAAAAATTATTTCGCGTTTATCTTTTGTGTTTACGCATATTACTGGCTCCGGGCCGTGGAGCTAAAATTAATCACAACCAAATTTTCACAAAAATATTTTACATATGGAAAATTAATAAAGATTTTTTAAACTGACTTAAATGAGGCTGGAAAAAAGTATTATTATTAGAGTTGATAATGGAAGATTACATATAAATAGAGGAAATTTTCTTATGTATGTCTACATCTATTCATATAACATACATATATGTAGAAGCTATTATTTATATTAAATTATGACAAAGGAGAAGCATTTCACAAATTTCCCTTTCACGCCAGAAGAATATATGCACGAAACACCCTTCACTTGCAAGTTTAGCAAGTAGTTCGCTAGACCTGGAAAAAAAGGACCAAAAATTATATTCCTCTAAGGGCTAACTTTAAACGAGGAATTGAAGAGTTAACTTACATTGATTTCTTATGTAGAGAGGAGCAAAAGAAAAGAAACGTCATAGGTAGAAATTTTTGCTTATGGTGGAAATCTTTATGGGCTTGTTATAAGCAGGCTCTGATGCTTGTATTGAAAGTTTATTTATTGCTTGAAATTTTGAACAAACGCTTGTTAGTGTTTGTAAGCGTACGCTTGGTTTTGCCTGGAGAGGGCAATAAAGAAGATGTAGATGTGTTTTCTTTTATTTAAACAGCGGGCTATGCTCGTAAAGCATTTTGAGTGCTTTTCCTTTTTATACCCTGTGATAAGGATAGTTGGAATCGTATTCGATTCATATTCAAATTTGATTTGCATTCAGGAGTCGGTTTAATTCAAAAACTATAGATTTATTTTAGGTATCCGCTCTTTAGTAAGGTTGCTGAATAATGTGTGTTATAAACACGCCAGTTCAGCTAAATGAAATACATTTTAAAATTTCCATCTGTCCGTGAAGGAGCTTTCTTTGCATAAAACATAGCTAATATAACTCTGATTATGAATTGTTTAACCTTCAAAGAGATGGTTGTATAACTTAGCCTCTTTGTTGAGCTCAACTGAATCCACTCCTCCTTTGTTTTAGCGTTTCTTAATACTATTTGAATACACTTACGCTAATTTTATACAGATTTTACTTTTGAATGATTCTCATTGCTATTATATTATTTTGAGCATTGTGACAAGTGCTATATTTTCCACAATTTACATAACATATATACACGACTTCACAAATAATATTATGACGAACTTAAACTAAAAAATAATTACGAACAAAAAGAAAACAAATTTACTTTAACGCCCATAATTATTGTATTTGTTGTAATATACATACATTAATATACATGCATATTGCTTATAGTATATATACAAATGTCAACAAGTTTTAGCTTCTGATGTTATTCAGTTTTATACTGTACACCATTTGTGGTATACGGCGATACGATATCAAAATATTTTCCACCATTTTCTATAATATTTTACCATATTTCTGACAACATGGCGATATTGTGTCGAAAGATTTTGTATTGGTTTGGCAGCGATCCACCCACCAACCCGTTCCCGGACTTTATCAACTTTGCGGAGTCGCGTGGCAAGCTGCACCGATCTGAACAAGTGGTAATCAGGAGCCGCTAGGCCTCGTAAGTACGCTGGGTGTGGCAGAACTTCCCATTCGAACTTCAACAGTGCATCCTTCACAAATATTGCAACAGGAATCAAGATGGACAATTGGGATACAATGGAGCAGCATCACCATAAGCTGCTGAACGTGTTTGTTGGACTTCGGTGGTAGATTTCTCCAAATTAAAACACAAAAGTAATGAAGGTCGAAAACAATGGTTTTGAACGCTCCGCAATTAGCGTCGCAATGGAGAAGTGGTCTTTTATGTAGAAAAAGGTGAAAATCATCGAATTTAACCATTACGCACACTGGTGTTGCGCATGACTTTATCATTTTCGCCTGTAAAAGTCCTTGGTCAAAATTCACGGCAGCTTCAAATGTATTACAAGGGAATCATGCAGCACCCAGAAGGACTTAAGGTAGCCCCACCTTTTATTATAGCGATCGATTCCAAAGCACTTTCCGTCTAGCCGCCTGATGTCCGTCTGATGTTTGTCCATGCTTAACGAACAGATAGCATTTTTTGAGATATTCTCATGAAGGTTAATACACTGGAGTGCTTTGACTCAAGGATAAACGATATTGAAAATGGTTTTTCTTCGTTATGAAAAAATAATGTAAATTTCCGAATTTTGCGACAACAATTGCTTCGAAATAGTTTTTTGGCATTTTAAAACTTGGATCGAGCGGACCTATTTTTTGAATCCTTTGTTATAAAAGTGTTCTTAGCGAACCGAATTTTTATAAGGTAGGATTGCTCGTTCATAACAATAATAATTGACATAGAAACTAACCTTATCAGATTCGGACCACGTACGCCTGTTTTTTTGGATCCCAAGCCCTATCAGAGCTCTAATAAAACATAAGCCTTTATATGTCAAAAATATATAACTTTTCAATACCTTATGATGAAAATGGTCCCTGAGCCAATCTTTCCAATTTTCCAGATGGAAAATTACAAAAACTTTGACGACAAAAATTAAGTTTCCTAAAATTTAAGCCGCTTCGGCGTTCGAGTGTCCCCTTTTTGGTGTATTATTAAGAAAATGAGTGGATGGTGTAGGGCATCTAATTGTCGGCCTTGTCCGACTATAACATTCTTACTTGTTTCCTTTCCGAATTTTGCGCAAATATTGAAAATTTCTTTTCTCTTGTTTTGATTACATTGAGAAACACTTATGCGCATCTTATGTACCTTATGTTCGTTCATTAATATATATTCATAAATATTTACACTTAAAAACAAAGTGAAACAAAAACTTTTCATTACAAGTTTCACTCCTTCTTAATCTAATCTAACGTTGAATTTGGCAAAACTTATGAAAACCGAACAGAGAGAGTTTCGATTGAACTATTTGCTTATGTATTATTAACGGTTTGCAAGTTACCCGGTTGATTCCATTAATATTAATTTTAAAAGTCATTAAAGATTGTTTGTTGTTTTTATATTAACTTTTTTAACTTCTCGTTTGTGTTTCTTTTTTGGCAGTGCCTCTCAGGAAATTAAATTTCTGCTTATCTCTTGCTCTTGTGTTTTTATAAATGTAAAAATTTATGTTTTTTTTTTTTTTTTTTTTTTTGTTTTGTTTTTTTTAATGAAACTTTTTGTACAGAGACTTATTATTATTTATGATTTTCAATTTTATTTAAGAGTTTAATGAAGTTTATTAATTTTTTTTTTTTGTATTTTAACTTATTTTTTTTTTTTGGTTTAATAATTCAGTTGATATTGTTTTATGTTAACATTCGATTTCGTTTTTCGTTTTTCGGTTTTTTTTTTTTCAAAATTTCTTTCTTTCTATTATTTCTCCTTTAACCGCTGCTTACAAGAATACTGTTATGTTGTTTATTGCCTTGTTTTGTTTTTCTTTTTTGCTTTCGTGAAAATTTACATGAAAATCAACCATTTGAGGTGTTGCACGACAGAAAACCCAATTACTCAGATGGAATGTTTTTGTCAACTGAGATCCTGTTGAAACGATTTAGTTAAATGATCCCCATTATCATCGTTATTATCGCTATCGTTATCGCTATCGTTATCATTATCGTTATCAATATCGGTCGTGGAACTGTACGAGGAAATGGATCGTGAACTACAGCAACTGGTGGAACTTGATGTTGAGCTCTCTGTCACCGGTGCTGTTGGTATTGAAGGTCATCTATTCTCATCGATGTCATCAATATCGTCATCGTCATCGTCATCGTCACACGATGTATGATCTCTTGATGCCGTTGCAGTTGACGATGACGACTCACTTATAAGACTCTTTAAGCGTTTCTCTTCAATTGGCGACGTCGCTGCAGTTGTTGTTGTCGTTGTTGTTGTTGTAATCATTGTAGTCAATTCGATAATATCTGCAGTGACGGAGGCAGACCTAGGTATATCTGGCAGTGCTGGTAAAGCATGATCATCCAATTTGGGCGATTCCTCGGTAAGCGTCTCCAACACAACAATCTCATTAATATCGTCAGGATGGTAATCGTAGAATACCTTTGAGGTATCTCCCTGAACATTCACATCAATCGGTTCCGTAACGGGAATTGGCTTTTCTTCGCATACGGCTGAAAAGTCACCACGTGGCGGCTCTTTGGGCGACTCTACCATTATCTGCACTATCGGTTGCTTGTCAGCCGTGAAATCAGCTAAATGGATATCACTTGCGCCAGGACTAATGCGTATTTGTGGTGGTTTGGGTTTGTCTAAAAAATAAGAAAAAAAACAAAAACAAAAAAGAAGTTATTTTTACGGCTTGAATCGTATCTTTTAATACACATTTAGATATGATACGATATTTGATTGCTAGATAAGACGAACGTATGTAGTATTACACAGATTTCATAATTTGGCAGCACTAGTAGGTGCTACAGCGTTTGTTGAAAAAAGGTGTGATTTTAAATTTCACGTCATTCATGCAACATCCAGAAGGTCACCTTTTATCATGCCGAGGGGAACAAACGGACAGATAAGCTTACGTCACAAAAATCTTTTATATCGAGAATCCGATAGAAGAGTGTAGAGAAATCGATTCTTGTGTCGCATAATCGAAAAAGCATTGTCCAAAATCGGCACGAAGCAGAAACACGTTGTAGATGCGTTTCATTCTTAGCCGTTACTCGTGGATTTTTCAAAATCCAAATTTGCAAATTTTGTCGCTTGATTATGCCGCCAAGATGAAAATCAGCTTGAACACGATTTGATTCGAAGAACCATTCCACAACCCATTCGCGACACTCAAATCGCTGTACAATCTTCCAATACTTGTAGCCCTGAACTATCAGCCTTGCGACTTTTGCTTTCCTTTCGCCTTTAGATCGCCAGTGGTGCAAATGCGTGCAATTTTAACTCTCTACTTATGCCTCGACCCATATGGTTTTTTCGTAATCACGGCCGCTCATTTGTCCCGATTTGGAAGATTTTTTCAAATAGAAAGAAAAAGGAAAAATGTATCGCACAACATTGAGTTTTCACTTCGAACTTTGGCATGACCATGATCGCCAAAACGGTATGTGGGGGGAGCCTGCTTACTTGGATGTCCATAATACAGAAGGAATTGAGACAAATTGGAAAAACCCGCCGAAAATTTTATCGAAGTTTAAATGTTGAAGAAAGTCACATTCATCATCGTGGCAGTATTTTAACGCTAAAGGATATTTCTTTAGGATGCAAACACTCTTTAAATTCAATCTGTAGTGGGTACAAAAGCAATCTACTAAGTTTGTCTACTACTCGCAACATACCCATTCCATTCGATGCCGGTGATGCTATATCTCTCTCATTGTCTTCGTCCTCTTCTTTGTATTCTTCGCTCTCACGATGAACCAAAACGTGAACCAGCGTCGAGTTATCTGGTCGCAATCCCAACGATATAATAGTTTGTTCCGGTGATGGCTTCGTGACGATTACTTCGGGAGTGGGCCCTTCAGCTGTATTCAACAATAGATAAAATGTCAAACAATTGCGTAAAAAAAAAAAAACAACCAAAAATTAGTGAAATTTTGTTTGTAGTTAAATAAATTCAAGGTGATTTGAATAACACATACAGACAAAAGCATTTTTGTTAACTCTTAAAGCGCTTTGTGCTGATAAACCTCGCTCTAGGGGCGGTTTTTTGCGTATAAAACTTGTGGCGCGTTTTCGTGTAGGCGTTGGCGCTATTTGCTGTTGTTGCTCCAGTACATTGTTATCAATTGTTGCCGTACTAGTTGCTAAAGGAGTTGCGGATGCTATAGCGGCTAAATATATTACATAAGGTGATCAGATAACCGAACAATTTTTAAAAAAAAAAAAACATTACAAATTATTCGTGTTAAGTGTTTTAGGTAATTTAGTTAAGTTTCAAGTTTTTACACATATACACAGAGAAAGAGAGAGAAAGAGAGAGAGAGAGAGAGAGAGAGAGAGAGAGAGAGAGATAGTGGGAGAAATAAAGGAAAAAGATAAAGGGAGATATAAAAAGGTAAAACTGTTGAGTTTGTCTTGTTTATTTATTTTTTTAAATTTTTCTTCTTTTTTTTTTTGTTTCTTTAAGGAACAACTAAGTAAATGAATTATTTACAATTTTCTTCTATATATTTTCTTCTTTTTTTTTTGCGAAGTGCTTTTAAAGAAATGGAAATGAAGAAGAAAATTTACACTCAAGTGCTTATGTGCTGATACTATGATAATTGATTGCATATATATAAATGTACATATAATGTAAGAATAAAATCAGGGGGTGCTTAGGTAGATAGTGGGTGATTATGGTGTATGGGGTGTGACTGCGGAAATGTGAAAATTTTACAAATTTTGTATATCTTTTACTTTTTTTCATGTTTTTGGTTTTTTGTAATTACATTTTCTATGCACTGATGGTGAAGTTAAACTATCATCAACAGCGTCCTGATGTCGCAAAAAGAAATTATAAAAGCTGCGGCGTCGACTAGCTCTAGGCGCTTCCACAAAAATGCTACCACTTTATGTTTGTATATATACATTGGTATGTATATAGACATATATATATATTTTTTTTTATATATAGTGTGATGGTTTTTGGTTTTTATTGGCGTTGCGTGACACACAGTGATTTTTTATTTAATTTTTTTTTATGTTTTTTTGTTTTTTTTTTTTTTTTTTTTTTTTAAAAA